AACTGAGCTATTTCCCTGGCCCAAGCAGAATATATTTATTGAGGGAAAGAAAGCTCTTGTCCGAGACAGGGACAGAAGGGGAGCCCAAGCGGGTTGTCCCCAGAAAGGTGTCTCTTCCAGGGACTTTTATAGTATAAAACCATGTGGTGAGGCAGGTCTAAGGTGGTGGAGAACATGGGAACTCGAGTAGGTGGGCATGAGGGGACAAAACTATGGTCAACCAATGAGATTATAAGCGCCATTGCTCAGGTAAAATTGATTAAATCCAGTACCAAATGGGGAAGCGAGTCATGTAGCAAGCAGGCATGAATATGGGACAGGGTCTTCTGGTTAGGGGTTGGGCTAGTGACTCATTTGGGCTCTTTCAAAGTGACTGACACCTATTTAGAATACTGATCCCTGATGCCCTTCCCTAGGGAAGTATATAGCTGTGTTTCCTCTTTTGTCTTGAGGTGTGGCCCATATGGGAGTGTCTGTCTCTTCCAAGTTGCAAAGTCACCTTGTCTTCCATCTTGTCTCCTTGAGGGCCTGGCCCTATCTGACTGCTTATAATATTTCTATAATTCAGCTGTCTACAACATTATCATTTTTTCTTTCTTTTTTTTTTTTTTTTTGGTGGTACCAGCGATTGAACTCAGGACCTTGCGCTTGCCAGGTAAGTGCTTATTCTACTGAGCTATCTCCCTGGCCCTATCTTTATCATTTTTATGGGAAGACATCACTGTCTACTTGATACATATCTTTGACTATATTCATAATTACCCTGTTGTGATTATTTGACCCATGCATGTTTGTTTCTTTAGCCTTGTCTCCTCCAGACTTAAAGCTATTCCGCCTACCCAAGATGAAAATTCCTGGTGTCTATTGAAGGCGTTTAGATGGAACCTCTGCAGAGTATCTCTGACTGCCAGCCCACAACTACAATCCCCTTCAGCCTGAAGAAGCCAGAGCAGTCATCGCCCTTGGTTCCCTCACAGCAGTTCAGGTTACTTCTTCAGAGGAGGAATGTTGTAGGCAGTTGAATTAGAAATATAGGCAGTCAGACAGAGCCAGGCCCTCAAGGAGACAAGATGGAAGACAAGGTGACTTTGCAACTTGGAAGAGACAGACACTCCCATATGAGACACATCTCAAGACCAAAACAAAAGAGGAAGCACAGCTACATACTTCCCTAGGGATGGGAATCAGGGATCAATATTCTAAATAGGTATCAGTCACCTTGAAAGAGCCCAGATGAGTCACTAGCCCAACCCCCAACAGGAAGACCCTGTCCTGTATTCATACCTGCTTGCTACATGACTCGCTCCCCCAGTTGGTACTGGATTTAATCAATTTTACCTGAACAATGGTACTTGTAATCTCATTGGTTGACCATAGTTTTGTCCCACCTCATGCCTACCTACGCGAGTTCCCATGTTCTCCACCACCTTAGACCCGCCTCACTGCATGGTTTTACTCTATAAAAGTCCCTGGAAGAGATAGCTTCCCAGGGACAACCTGCTTGGGACTCCCTTCTGTCCCTCTCTTGGACAGGAGCTTTCTTACCCCTAATAAATATATTCTGCTCATTAAAAACAAAACAAAACAAAACAACTATCTATCTATATACCTATATATCTATATCTATCCCCTCAAGTAAAATAGAACTTTCAAAAAGCCTAATACTGCTGTACCTTGTATGTTTTTCCTGTTTAAAAGAGCAAAACAAAATGCTAGGACTAAGTATATAGCCCAATGGTAGAGTGTTTGGCTCACATGCACAAGGCCCTGGGTTTGAACTACAGAGCACATGCACAGGCACACATGTGCACACATGCACGTGCACAGACATGGACACACACACACACCCTCCATAAGAAAAGATTTATAAACCTCTGACATACACCTTTTTAGAGTTTTTTAAAACAGGGTCTCACTATGCAGCTCAGGCTGGTCTTAAATTCACTATGCATCCCCAGCTGGCCTCAAGCTTATGGCAATGGAAGGTGTGGCTCATATGGGAGTATCTGTCTCTTCCAAGTTGCAAAGTCACCTGTCTTCCACCTGCCTGAGCCTCCTCAGTGCTGGGACTATATGTGTGTACCATCAAACCTGGCATAGGCTGTTGTTTTAGATAAGATGTCAATCTTAGAAATCTCAAGAACTCACACAAGGAAAAAAAGCCCACAGGCAGCAATACATGGCGTTGTATTTCCTCCATACTCACCTCATCACTGTCAAAATCACCGTTGTGTGGCACGAGCCGAAAATCTCCAAAATCCCCCTCTTCACCTTCTTCCCTATAATGAAAATCAATCAAATAAATTGTTGAACACAAACTACAAGCACCCATCTAAATTGAGGATTTAAAGTATCTTTTTTTTTATTTTTTAATTTTTTTAATTTTTTATTTATGTGTGTGTGTGTGTGGCCAGCTCAGCTCAGCCCACCAGGGGGCGGGGGCTGGCTGGCATGTGGTGCTGGGGGATTGAACTGCGGTCCCTGTGTTTTGCTAAGCTTGTTTTAAATAGGTGCTTTAGACCACTGAGCCATCTCACCAGCCCCCCCCCCTTTTTTTTATAACTTTATTTAGTGTGTGTGTGGCCAGTTCAGCCCACCAGGGGGCAGGGCTGGCTGGCATGTGGTGCTGGGGATTGAACCGCGGTCTCTACTTTTGCTTAGTTTAGCTTGTTCTAAGGAGGTGCCACCTCACCAGCCCCTAAAGTATCTTATTAATACTAATAAGCTGTTCAAAAAATAGGAGAAAGATATTTTGCTTGGAGTGGGAGTCAGTGGGTACTGAAAATTAAACCCAGAACTTTACACTGAGCTACATCCTAGCCCTTTTTGTCTTATTTTGAGATAGGGTCTAAGTTGCCTGAGCTAGGCACCAACAGTGATTCTCCCGATTCAGTCTCCCAGACAGCAGAGATTGCAGGGATGTGCTGCCATGTCTTGCTGTTTAGTCTTTAAAAAAAATTGTTTTAGCTGGGCACGGGGGCATGCCTGTAATCCCAGAACTCTGGGAGGACAAGGAAGGAGGGTTGTAAGTTCAAGACCAGCCTGAGAAAGACCCTGTCTCAAGAAAGGGGGCAGGGGCTGAGAACATAGCTCAGTGTAAAGGTCAAGTTCAATGTGTAATACAAGAAAAAAAAAAAAAAAAAAA